ATAAACTGACCAAAGTGCTGTACGTACGTCAGTTATTTTTATAGTGTGGTAAGCCAATTACAATAATTATTGATAATACATCCGTCACAAAGTGTAAATGACACAAGGAATTGTTTTATATTTCACAGCAGGACATTTGACATGAAACAGTAAACACCAGACATGCTCACAAACACCTTCTTATTTAAGTTTTTATTAAGATTAAAACCTTAAAAGGATTCAGAAACAATGATATAATTTCTTGGAACAGGTTTTCCCCTAGTGGTTATGTTTTGTAAATGCCCAAATACGGACCGGATCTAATGGCGTTTATTTTTTACATAGCTGAACTGAATTTTTCTGTGGCTGCAAATTTACCCCAACAAAGTTATCTCATCAGGACACTTTTCAAATAGCACAGGTCTATATCCTACTCCTTATAAGATTATTTACAGAGACCCAACAGTTCCCACCATAGGCAAGCACTTGGCGACAGCGTCAAGGAAAGACTTTTTTTTTCTCAGGATGATGAAGTTATGACCCACCTTACTGTGCCTCTGATGGGCTAGTGTTCATAGCAAAGAACACCATAAATGAGATAACGTAACTTGGATGTGCCTGGTCACATGTTTCCACCCAAAAGACCAGATCATTAAGCAGATCATGACCGCAAGTGTTTTCTTCGACCAAATGCCAACAAAGCCGATGTCAAACCTGGAGTAGATAAAAGTATAGAAGTGCTGTTGAAAGTGATTTGACTTTTAAAACTAAGATTGAATGTTTTCTGTGTTTAATATCTGGAAGTTCCCAGCACTGAAGAACCCCACACAGATGTTCTTCCTGTTGTTCGGATCATAGTCGGGGTCGTGGGGTTGATCACTGGTACGCTGATAGTGGTCCTGTGCGAGAGAGGCTTGATCGGTAGGTACAAAACACACTATTGTGTCAACAATGCAGACTGATCCTGAAACAGACAGACTGAACTTGTTTTTTTGTTTCTGTTCCTTAAAAAAAATTGATGTTCCTCATTTAAAAATGGAATATAACCGGTGTTGGGCAACTTACTGAAAAGTACTATTTAGTTACAGTTTCTACTGAATCATTTATGCCCCTGGAGGACAAAATAACATTCCTATATGGTGACTTACACTGGAAAGTGAATTATTTATTTATTTCAAACCTTGAATATTTATATCACCTCAAAAAAAGGCAAACAAAGATTCATGAACACACTGCACGTTTTGAGCACTTGCAATCCATATACAGCGCCCGCCGACGCGGTAAAAGTTCCTGCCAGAGCTCCAATTTGACGATCTTTACATCTATCTTGTGGAGAATCCCTCCCCTTAAGCTGCCACCAGAATAAAAGCATGCAAAAGTACAGTATAGGAATGTCCCCAGATTGATGTCGGCGCCAATCGCATTTTTAAACTGATCGGTATCGGCTATATTGAGCTTTATTGACCCGATCCAATTTTTTATCTTGTGTCAGCTGCCATACAGATGTTTCTACTCCTACTACTACTACTTCAGACACGGTGCAGCCATCGTCAACTCTCTCTTGCTGTCTGCCTTTCCAGTCTGAACTCGCTCTGTGTGTGTGTGAGAGAGAGCAGGAGCAGGATACTGTGAAACTCCACAGTGGAGAAGATACAACCACACTCAATACGCCACGTGAAAACTATGAATTACTGCGCATAAAAGTAATAACCTGACTTAAGAAGACATTCTTAATTAGGCTATTGCTCAGCCTAATCTGCAGTGGTGTGGCTGAGCTCCTCGATGGAGCACTGTGCACGAAAAGTTTGCAAGTAAATCACCTGTACAGCTGCACTTGTCGACATCTGACATCTTCTTCTTCCTGTGGCATTTAATGGCTGACTAGAGTATTTGTATGCACATACTGTATGCTGCACCGTCAGGCCCTTCAGTTGCACTTCTGTTAAAAAACAAGTAGCTTTTCTAAATTTTGGTTTTGACTTGGACCTTAGTATTGGTTCCCTATGACCCATTACTCCTAATACTGAGTATAATATTCATAGGTATGTTTTCATCAGTGTAAAATCACCTAAAAATGAGAATCATGTTTTTACTACCTTAGAATGAGACGTTTCTATCTTCAGACGGAGCGGGTCCTCTTGTGCAGAGTTTGCCATGAAGACCAATTTCTACAGTAGCCCAGAATGTACAAACCAAACACTGGCTCTAGATAGGGCCATTTGCATTTTTCACACATTATCGGTCCACCTTAGTTTCCCCCTTGTGTTGGAAAGGTGGGGTGTAGTGAGTGAGTTTTATCTGTAGATACTCGGCTAGATGCCACTAAATCCTACACACTGGATCTTTAAGAAATACGTTTGCGACCACTGCTTTGGATGTTACTGATGAAACTGTGATTTTACAGAAATAAAGAAGGCTCTGACACAGACACTATATCACAATCTTATCCTAATGTCCTTTAGTATCTGTTCTGAACTATTACAACACATTTGGAGGGACAAACAGAGCAGGAAAGCGCAGGTATATTATAAAAACAGGCCAGATGCCTATACACATACTGCACCTACGTTCATTCTCAACTAAATACATGTTCTGTTCTCTGCAGGGTGTAAAAACAGGGACTCCTGTAAGTATCTGTTGAATCAATCAATATAATTGTGCACCAAAACAGCACTAACAGCATGTTTGTAAGGGTTAAAATTAAATCTGTTCATCTCTGCAGCCGTAGATCCAGACAACCAAAACGCCAGCCCAGACGAAGACGACAACGCCCTGTGGAATGTGGAGGAAGCAGTGTGACGTTCCATCAGAGTACGAAGCCTCAGTGTGCAGTTTGAAACCAGAATTACAATTAAAACTAACATCATTGCTCATGCACTGTAATCCGAAACTGTTGGAACTGTTACATTGAAAAGAAAAAGTAACACAAGCTCAATTTTTTAAGTTGAAAAAGATTCTTGATTGAACAGCTTTTTACAGTAAGTATATATATTTTTATATCTGTTTACTGTTTTATATGGCTGCACCTGTATATGCAGTTATAGTTGTCTTTTGTTTGTTCATATCTATTGTTGTTGTAAATAAAATATGAATCATAAAAACAAATATATGGACACAATAAGTCTCAAACTTTGTTCAGTAATGTTTCTCCTGACCAGCGATGATATCGACCAGGTGATACAATAACTAATAAACAATAATTGACTCATTCTCTCCAAATGTAAATCAGCTGACTTACTGTCAACACTTAAATAAATGCTTGATTGCAAGATAAAACCTCTGATTTATTGATTTAGATGAGTTGGAACTAGTTAATTTCATTGAATAACCAAACCAATTTATAAACTCATGTTTATGCTGCCAATTACTAAGTAAGGGGTAATTAAAAATACCTTTGATTGTAGAGGAAAATCTGATTCCAATAACTCAGAACACTAAAAATTAATCGGCTACCATTTTGATAATCAATTAATTATAAACTGTTTATGTAATGTAACGATTTGCTTAAGTGGAAGAAAACAGCTTAAGTGGTAAAGATTTGTATAAATAGAAATGCATTTAAGTTACTTTAGTCAGACAAATTCTGTTCACACATTTTAAATATGTTTGGAGAAATGCTGCAT